ATGTGAGCATGTTCCTGGCAATCAAAGGGTTAAATATGACTGATGTAGTGGTGGGCAATCTGACGCTATCTAGGAGGGACTTGTGACACTAATACAATAATCAGTAAAAACAAATCTGTATACTGTACTAATGACACTGGTGATAGGGCAGAGAAGGGGTTAACTGGGGGGCAACCAAGGGGTTAAATGTGACTTAGCTGTGATTTTACTGTGTGTGTGTAGTGCTTTGACTCACGTGGATCTGCTTTCTTCTCTCTCTGGAACGGAATGTACTCCAGGGAGAGAAGATTGCATCATTTCCTGTACCTGTGTAAACACAGATACAGGATGATGTGTGATGGGGCAAGGATCACTCAGCAGATCTAGGCCAAACATCACTTGACTGATCGGTGCTGCACCGAATCACAGCACCGTCGGGTTAGCGGGCCCACATCCCCTTCCCGTAAACACCGCAAGAGCACAGATCACGCTTATATACACGATACGCAGGGAGTCTGCCCTGTAGCAGTAAACTTGCTATAGGGAGAAGCTTAACTGGTTAATCCAACCACACCCATGTTTTGTCCTGGTGCACTTTGCGTACCACTGGTCAGTGTCTCTCTAAAGTGTCCCTCATTCTAAAGTTTGGAATTATGCTTTAACCCCATCCTCCCTTCACTTTGAATCCCCCATAGAAGTTATATAAACCCACAAGGGTACTCACAGTGGTCGGAGAGGTTAATAGTGCCTCAGCATTTGTGCCCATCTGTGACAAAATTTAGAGAGGAGCACAAATAGCTACCTGACAGAGCACAGCCCACAAATCTCTTGAACATAGCACACACCAATGGTGTCATTTGTTAACCTATAGTAGAGTAATGCCTCATGCGGCTGTCAAAAACAAGTTTTAGAGGAGGTTAATATTTTGTTTCCGGCGCCTAAATGCCCCTTCATGTTATTCTATTGGGTTGGTTTACTAAAACTGGTGTAGCTCTGCATAGAAAACAATCAGCTTCCATTTTTGTTTGTCAAAGCTTAATTGAACAAGCTCTTCAATCTAAAAGTCAAACATGGCTGATTTGAAGGAGTGAAATTGGCCATTTAGGACAGACTCAAAAAGGTGGCAAATATGAGTTCCAGAACTCTCAAGCTGGCACAAACTGAGGGTCATTGCTGAGCTTGGAGGCTCCAGGTGTGAGAGAAGAGAAACGTTTGTCCTGGGCAGGAAAAAAAATGAACAGGGCTGTGTCTAGAGACAGGCCAAGATACTTTAACAGTAACCTATAAGACAGATCCAGCGCTGACATTCTCAGATTAAGGATTCCCCAAATACTCTGCAGTTTGTATGGTCAGGCAAATGTCTGCTAAGGACAGGGAAGACTGGTCCTTCAACAGATGATTATGCAGGTACCCTGCAACATGGATTTTTTTAGCACAGAGCAAAAACCAGGGCATGCACCTTGGTGAACACTCAACGGGGCCATTGACAGATCAAATGGAAGGGAAACAAACTGGTAGGGAGGTAACGACTGACCTGGCATTCTCCATGTGAAACTTTGTACCCATAAAAATAAGTTGAGAACTTTTAGGTCCAGAATGAGACAGACTTCCTCACTAGGCTTTGGAACTTTAAAGAGGTTTGAGTAGAAACCCTGAAGACATTCAACTGTAGGAAGTGCAGTAACAAGCACCTGGGAAATAAGCAGTTGCACAGCAGTCAGGAAGCACACTCTTTCATATGGGGAATAGGGTATGTTTGAGAGCATAAAATGAGGGGAAGGTGGAGCCCAAAAATCCAAATTGTAGTCCTGGGAAATAACACACTGAACCCAGAGATCCAATATGTATTGGTACCAAAGAGCTGTCTCCCCCATTCCAAGAAGACGGTGTATCTTATTACGGAGAAGCCTTGGCATCAGACTTTGCTAAAAAGTTATATTTTAGGCAGACCATACACTGAGAAAATTTCTTTCCTGCCACCTTCAATTGCTCCAACACAGGCAACAATGTACAATATCTATGAGAACTGCTATACTCTCCTTTAGCTTAGGAGACAGCTCAGAACTAGAAGTGTCCTACTCATCCAATTTCTCTCAGAGAATGGGATCCACTTCAATATCCTCCTCAGGTACATTGCAAGACTCAAGAGGAATGTCAAATACTGAGTTAAGAGGAGAGGCTAGAGGGGCCCAATTGTGATCCCTACTGTGCATGTCCTCAATAAAGGCCTTATATTCTGCCCAAGCATTATGGCAAAAAATTCTTCCCTAGAGATGAAAGAGTCAGTCCAGGAATAAGGCAGCCCACAGAGTTTTTTGTTCAACCATCGGGTTGAACACAAAAAAAACCTCACTCAATCTCCCCATCCGCACACTCCTTCTCACTGAGCTATTGTAATCTGTCGGCAGGGAGACTTTCCCGCCATCAGAATACGCTAATCAGCGCTGCCAGTTATAGCCAGTGGTGCTGATCGAGTGGGGAAAATCGGACAGGTTGTAGAGAAGTTGATTGGTCTCCATGTGCACACATGAACCAAATTTTAGCCAGTCCCTGCTAAGCCAGCTGAATTTTGATCCCTATATGGTCAGCTTAAGGGGTGCCACTGTTTACGGTGCCCAATGCAATCAGTGGATGAGCACTAGTTGACATCTGCAATCCAAAAAGCCAGGAAAGAATCTGCTGGTGCAAAAACACTCTTTGCAGCCAGGCGCTATGGCTGCCTCGCCTTACAAGTGTAAGGTGAAGCAGTCGTAGCCCCTGGCCACAGAGGGGCAGTGGAGCACTTTACACCACAATGAAACGGGTACAACAGTAAAACCATAGACGTCCTCCAGTAATAACGTTACCAGGCGGGACAATGGTGCCAGATATCCACCTGCCATCTTGGATGAACTGCAGTAAGAGTTTCTCCCTCCCCACTTCCAGGGGGAAAGAAAACAAACACACAAGAGCACCCTGGGATGAAAGGGTTTCAGCCCTGAATCACCACTCTTCCACAGGAAATAGGGGGATTTAACCTCTTCTTGGCTTCACCATCCACGATAGGCATACCTCTATAGGCGTCTTCGGAAACTGGACCCTGTGGCAGACAGACCATGACTCTGGATCTGTAGAGCACCCTATGGCTAACTCCATGCATTATACTACATACCAGGGGGACCGTCCATAGTATCCAATACCACAGTAACATTACACACCAGCCCTGGTTCTTCCATGTGGCAATGTCTAGGTATGGTCCCCTGAGAAGTTAACCAATCTGGAAGCTTCATGAAAAGCTGCAGTGGGTATAATGCAGCCAAGTCTTGATAGAAGAATCACTATTGTAAAAATTCAGAGCAGGAAAAAACCTCCATTACAGAAGGTAAGCTTCTCTCAGTAGAGGAGATGTCAATTGCCTATGGACACTAGCAAAAACTCTAATCACCTGAAGGTAGCTGCATGTAACCAGTTGTAAGGATTTAATGAAGCCTATTGTCCTGTACTGTATGATCAGGAAAAACTGCCTAAAGAAAAAGCACACATATTGCAAAAACAGACAGCCATTGCCGTGATTTTTTTTTTTAAGGCTATTGGTCAGGCTGATTGAAAGCTTCAAACAGTCAGGAGTTGTGACTTCATTACCTTTCCAAATCTGCATGCTAGTTCCACTTCAGTGGAAATCAACAGCTAGCTTTCACAGCAGCATCTTTGTAAAGGAGGAATTACAAATACTCTACTGGGCATCCTCTAGGTGCCTCTGAACCTGAAAAAATAGTTACATGTGATGTAATAGAGGCCCTGAGCTAAAAGAGCCACTGAGACCAGTAGCAAGGTGAGGAAAAATGCTGCCACAATAGAATGAAACAAGAGGGCAAGAAAAGGGAACTCACTAGGGAAAAAAGCATGTCAGATAAGGGACCACCTACCTTGACACAGCAGCAAGAAAAAGGAGGGAGCTGCACCATCTTACTTTGTTTAAAAAATGCTGATCAAAAGCACCCATGGATTTCTAACTGTGGTTAGAGTGCAATGAGTTTTGGGAGAAAAAGTTACACAAACAGCTTCTTTACAGCACACTAAACGTAACTGTAGATTTATAAATTATAAAACTAGTGATGCACCAATATATCTGTTGAAAATAGGACTATTAGAATTTTGCTGATAGAAAAAAAAAAAAAAAAAAGAAAGAAAAAAAAAAAAAGGGCCCCATCTATTGAAATGCAAAAAAAAAAGCGCCCCATCGACTTCACAGCAAAATCGCTTCCCACTGACTTCAATGCAGAATTGTTTTGTTTAATTTTTGTGTACTACTTTCAATAAGTTATTTACGCTACTGTATTGTATTTTTTTAACTCAATTTAAAAATCAAGATATTAATGAAAAAGTTGAATACAATACAATTATGTACTTACAATGGTACAGAACAGGTCTCCTAGTGTGCAGGTGTACTAAATCCCACCACTGCACTTAAATGTGAACAAGTCCTAGGCTTCATATGAGTCACTGACTTTCCCATAGTATCCAACTGCCTATAGAAAGAGTATACTGTGGGGGTTATTTACTAAAACTAGCGATCGGGACCTTTCCGTGAGGCACCAGTAGACGTGCCAGGAGCGTGCTCTCGGCACATCCTTTGTTTACATTGGGTACGCAAATATGAGGCCCCTTGGCACCAAGGTTTAGCCGCTGTGAGGCCACATAATTGCGTACACTCTGCGCCAGGGAGTTAAGAACAGAAATTGCCCAAATATCACAACATAATGCTAATACACGAATTACAATACAAAAAAAGGAAAAGGCTCACAAAAGAAACATGTATATGTAACTATAGTTTATTCAGTATCAGCTTGAACAGAATGAAAATGTTTTATGCAACCATCAGTTACTATTATATTATAAAAAGAAAAAATATATACTTATTTCTCCAACCATAACAAAAACATCATAACAAAATTAATTTGGAAGTTGCTCTTCCACATCCTGGACAGCTGGGCTTGTCAAATATATTAAACAAAAAAAAAAAAAAAAAAAAAAAAAAGGATTTACATTCTTCTCTTCTGTGTACTTATATATAAAACTGTAAAGGAAAAAAACTCCAATGAACATGGGTAAGCAAAAATACACATACACTACTAAATATATAACTATAAAGCAACAACATTGTTTTGCATAAGGACCCCACATTTTGTAGTAGCTAGTAATAGTTGATCACATTCAAATGCAATTGTCCAGTTGAATGTGACTTAGTACTACTAGCCATACCTGAATAAAATGAGAACCTTTACAGACATTTTGTAGTGTTACACGCATGAATTATTATTGGTTTAATTGTTTTAATTTTCTGTCCAATTCATTAGTAATAATGAAACGAAACTGCAACGTTTCAGAGGGTTCTCTCAGATAGATATGTCATTTTAATTGTAATTTCAAGTGGTTATAAAGGCTCAATGTCTTTTACCTTCATACATTCTTTACATGAAGGTAAAAAACCTTCTGCACCCCCATCCCCCCCAACACTTACCTGAGCCCTATCCCGATCCAGTGATGTCCACGACAGCTTTGGCTCTCCAGGGACTCTCACTCCTGATTGGCTGAGGCAGCAGCGGAAGCCATTGGCTTCCGCTGCTGTCAATCACAGCCAGTGAGCCAATCAGGAGAGGGAGGGGGTGGGGCACACAGGGATCTGTGTGTGAATGGATACGAGTCTGCTCGGGTGCCCCTATAGCAAGCTACTTGCTATGGGGGAACCCAACAGGAGGGAGGGGCCAGAAGCGCTGGAGTGGGACCCAAGAAAAGGATCAGGGGTGCTCTGTGCAAAACCACGGCACACAGCTTATAAGTATTACATTTTTGTTATTTAAAAAAAAAAAAAATGAAAATGCTGTTCTCCCACCGCAAAACACAGGCAGTGCTGTTTAGGTGGAAAAATGGGGATTTGGGAAGTAGGCATCCTTAATGCCCAGGAAGCCCCCCTGATGGAAAAAAAACACTGAATTACAGATTTCAGTTTATATCTCTCTGCTCCGAATCAGAGCTACAGAATGCTTAACAGGTCCCCAACTCACTCCACTGTCAAGGGCAACTTTAGATACAGCAGACATCCACGGTCCCCGCACTCAATAGGGTGTTAGGAACCAAGCCTGTTTGGTCACATGACCACCAAATAAAACTGTCATTTATGGTTAATTGTAACCATTATATTTTTTTTATTTTGACCAGTGTTGGAAACCTGCATGAAATGCACATTAGAAAAAAATAAACTTTCTAAATTAGATCTACATGTTACAGAATCTTCTTTCAAAAAAGAATATATTTTAAAAGGATAATAAAACCCAAGAAAACAAAAAAAATGTATTATATATCTTTTAGCGTGTCAACTCCTACTAGCAGGGCCCTCAGAATCCTCTTGTACAAAATTGCATTGTAACTGTACTGTCTGCTTTTATTTAGTAAAGTACTGTGGAAACTGTTGACACTACATGAATCCTGTGTAATAATATAAAAGCTTACTAGTCCTAACATGTGGTGGTTGCAATAATTCTCTTTAGGACTGAACTTTTTCATTAAAAGAAGCATGGGGTTTGTTTTACTCCCCAAATTATACTTACCTAGGTGGATGCAGCATTGGTCCAATGCTGCATCTGTCCCTTACTGGCTCGAAGTGTGAGAACTCAGCAATCACATAACCGCCAATCCCTGAGTTCTCACTGCTGCTCTGAGCAGAAAGCAGTGACTGCCAGGGGTGGATCTATCAATCATCTTCCCGTCCTCCATGCTTAGATCCTGTTTCATTCATAGAAGCTTTAGTACGACTTCTATGAATGAACAGCTGGGCAGAAAAGGATGGGCATAGCCAGGCTCTCTTTTGGCTGCATTTAGGCATTAAATATAAGAATGATGTGGTCAGCTTTGGTCAGTTTGTCTGTAAAGGTGAACCCGTAAAGTCTGTGTGTAATTGCCCCAAATGCTCAGGTTTATATTTGCAAAGTACTTCAAACTAACAAAGCTACAAACTACTACCTTTCACAGCATACTCTAATTTTAAATGTTTTTTAATTGGTAGGAACTACATATATATTTCCAAAATGCTTTACAAGTCATCATATCTTGATTTACCATTATTTCCACGGATAAATGCATCTCCATATTTGTTCTTCAGCTGCCCATTTACATATTCTTCTGTCTGTTCTAAAGCAATGTTCATGTACCCATCTAAGCAAGCCAATACCCCTGTAAATTGGGAAAGAAAAGAACCTGAATTGTATACCTACAAGTTCATACTGATCTCAAGCTACAATACAAGATATTTTACACGGCAGCATTTTTCTTTAACCTTCATCTCTTGTGAAACAGATCTAAATGATTTAAAAGAAGAATGGTCACATTCTGTTTTACATTCTAACTGCTTTACAATTAGAATGTGTTTAGTAGCAGAAGCTAAGCAGGTATGGTCTATCTGCCATACAGATCTATATACAGCATGTAGATCTTGCAAATATCTGATGTACCCTCTTAGATTGTAAGCTCCAAGGAGCAGGGCCCTCCTAACCCTCCTGTATTGAACTGTATTGTCTCCCGTTATATTGTAAAGCGCAGAGCAAACTGTTGGCGCTATATAAATCCTGTATAATAATAATACTTACAATTGTCTAGATTCAGAACATTAAGGTCTCACGTACACAGGCAGTTACACGGTCAAGTCTTAAAATGTCAACTTTCTGCCACTTTCCTAGACCTGGGGAGCTGCAGTGCCGCGTACAGCCTCTCATACATGTGAATGGCTGTACACAGCCAGCTGATTGTGAATGTTGATGGCTACTGCATTGGATTGAAATCGGGGAAATGTGCTGGTCGCACATGCGTGGGTAAAGCCATTGGCGTTTTCAAGTAGCCGACCACATACAGTCATTTACTTGTATGGGAGGCTGTCCGCTGCTCCCCGGGAGTAGAAAAACACGGTAAATTTCACACCACAAAACTCACTGCTCTACAGTGGCCTGTGGGAGGAGTCAGATCATTGCATTAATGTCTACCCAACATTGACAGCAGACATCATACCCATCTAAACAAATACACACAGGTTTACCTAAATATGAACAGTACAAGACAGCAAACTTACTATATTTCCAGTACAGATCACACTGCACAGCATAAGACACTAGTATGAGTTCCCCTTACTGCTCATGTATAAGTGGATATGGTAAGAAGGGAGTAAAGGAATGAAAGTCCTCCAATCACATCACTGAGCATCTGCAGACAGACGTGTGCCTGCTGCAATGGCCTTCACTAAAAACTCTCGGAAAGCACACAGTGGAGGAGGAAAGGGGAAAAGCAGTACAGTTTTCCAGCAGAGCCAGAAGGACCATAAACAAGTCAGGCTGGAGTTTTTCAACTAAACTATTTTTTTTTTCTCAACCCTGTCCTGCGACTCCCAACTGCCCTTCCCCCATACAACTCTGCATGTTTATTCTATCACCTCCTCCAAAGATAACTTTAGGTTTACACTTGCTGGGCTTAGCTTTTTGGTTTCCCTTAACAAACAGCTGTAGTTATGGGAGCTGGCTGTACAGAATAATGCACCAATCCAAGGACAAGACTAGCTTTTGATTACTTTCAATGTCAGAGGGGGTGCATTGCTAGTTCTGACCCTAATCTTAGTGGAGTGTTAAAGATTTTTCCTTCATTTTAAAATGAAAACTTTACAGAGCTCCACTTTTTCATTCAGCAATGGCTATAGAGCATCTGGTCACTCTACTCGCTTTTGTTAGTAATCTGGTGCTCTATGAACCAGACCTGTTCACCAGCTTCTAATTCATGATATGCATTTCCAAACACGCCCAGTTTAAGCTCTTTGTAAAGACCTCCATGAATACATTGGATTATACAGGATAACTGAAATTTTGACAACTACAATGTAACCTGGCTGTCAAATTACCTGAAATGCCTCTTGAAAAGCTAAATATTTTAATCTGATAATGGTCAACTATACTAGAATACAAAACAGAAAGACTACAGTGTTCTCTTCACACGTAGGGGAGGTAACAGTGGGTAGCCGGTTGTTAGTAGGGTAGAAGTTTGAATTCTTTTTAACCCTTTTGCCGACAGGTCAGTACACTGTATGGACCTGACAGCAGGGGGTTTTATCCAGTCACAATCCAGTGGCTGCAGTGCCTGTGTATAAAAACTGACAGGCAAACTCCTGCCTGTCAGATGAAAGCAGTCAGGCGACTCTGCTGCAACCGATTGCTTCCACAGTTACTGGTTCCAGTGTCTCCCCCCACCCAAAAAGGCACGCTACCACCATGTACCTAGGCTCTGCTTGCCAATCTGTGTGACGTGGAAAGCTACGTCCATGACCTGGAAGCATGTCTTAATAAAGAGAACCTGTCACCAAAAAAAATCACACAAAAGGACTTTTATGTCCCCTTTGTGATGAAAAAAATAAATTAAAAAAGGAAAAAAAAAAAAGTTTTGTTCTTTTTTACAAAAAAATAAATAAAAAAAAAAAAAGTTACACCCAAGCACATAGCACACCCCCACCCCCCTTACAAACGTGTACATACACGTCTGGGCGCCTACATGTGAAAATGTTGATTGCAATGATAGACATGTTACATATCGCCGTGCACGCCGGAGTGAGAGCAATAATTCCAGCCCCAGACCTCCTCTGTAACACTAAACTGATGACCTATAGGGGCTTTAAAGTCTTGTCTATAGAAAATATAGGGTACTGAAGTGTGACGCAATTTCATAGGTGCACACAAATTTAAGGTTTGGCATGTTGGGTATCTATTTACGTGGCACAACCTCATCTTTTATATTTTACCAAAAATTTGGTTAATTTATTGCGTTTATTTTATTGCAAAATTATGTGTTTCCTAGACCTTCGCAATAATATCATGTGATACATAAAACTGGAACTACCACTGTTTCTCTAGGGTATCTGCTTTCAGTAAATATATATTTTGAGGGTTTTGTGTAATCTTCAGGCCTAAAATTGTTTTTTAAACACGTGTGCAAAAAAATGCAAATACAGCTCTGGATAAACTGTTAAAAATATATCCATGTTAACTGACAATATTTTATTTATTTATTAATTTTTTTAATACAGGTATCTCTGCTGATCACAAGACGTCTACACTGAATTTCTACCAGCAAGCCTAGGTTAAAGGTTCCTAATCTACATAACAGTAGTTTGACAATAAAACAATCAATAAAACATGCAGTCACAAATACATCTAAAACCATTATTAGTTAGTTACCTCGATAGTCAACTCCAGAATTAAGTTTCACGACAACAGGTCGTCCAATAATCTGCTTCAAAAAGTCACTAGGAGTTTGCTTTCGTAGACTCATTCTGATAGTTTCCTGAAGGCAAGAAAATAACTTTATAGCTTGTCAGTAAAATCTAGAGGTCTTTAAAAACTCTCCAACAGAGGCTGCAAATATACAAGCAACTTGTCACACCAGTAGTATTCCTTTTCCACAGTGCAAGGATTTGTAAATCTTTCATCAAGACCTGTAAAACAGACTGTACCCCGAAGATTTCCCAGCACTTACCTTTGAGGACCACCAAGGGTGAAGGAATAGTATATGAACTACTCTGACAATGTTACTAGTCAATTAGAAGCCCCAGTTATTACACATGAAGCAATACAACAAAATATTTGGATCTAATATATCAGTTTTTGTTACAGCTTGAGCAGTTTTTCATCTTTACAATCCTTCAGTGGAGATGCTGATTAAGTAAATGTCTGCATTTTCCACATATCCAATTTGCGCTTGAGCACTGATGTACTCATTAACCCTTTAACACCAGCGCCTCCTGACGAGGGCGGACTGACAACTCATGGGGCCCCTGTGTCCCTGCCCAAACTCAAAAAAGCCTATGAAAAGGTACCAGGGGCATCTCATGGGGCCCCCTACTGACCTCGGGCAATGCCCGAGTTTCCAAATGGTCAGTCCGCAACTGCACCGGACTCTTTAAGGGGTGTCTAATGCCAGGAGATTGGGTGGGGCTTTGATCATGTGCCTGCCATGAATGGCTGTCACAGAGAACACATGAATGGAAAGCTCCTGATCGCAAGTAGAGATTGGAAGCTTTCCCTTAGCCACATGCTCTCAATACAGCTGTGTTTACATTTTGGTACACATATGTGGCCTCCGGGCATTAAGGCCCTCCCGCTGAGAGGCCATATATATGTGTACTGTTGGCATTAACAGGTTAACAACATTCTAAAATAATTTTAAATTATTCTTACCTGCGACAAGTCCTGGAAAACATTCACTGTCCTGGAAGCTAAGGCTGCATTGATTATAACCACACTTGAACAACTGTGAATAAGTTTCAAGTTTTCACCAAAAGCTGCCTAAGGCTCCGTTCACACTTGTGCAAATCCAAAGTTGCACGATTTCCTGTGTGACTTTGGAGTGCAACTTTACACACTATGGCATTTAACCTCTTGCCTACAGGGCACTTTTACCCCATTCCTGCCCAGGCCAATTTTCAGATTTCAGCACTGTTGTATTTTGAATGCCAATTGCGCGGTCATGCAACACTGTACTCATATGACATTTTTATAATTTTCTTCACACAAATAGAGCTTTCTTTTGGTGGTATTTAATCGCCACTGGGATTTTTTTTTGCAATATAAATTAAAACAAAAATAAATAAAAAGTTTTGTTTCTATTATAAAATTTTACAAACAGGTAAATTTTCTTCTTCACTGATGTGTATTGGTGAGGCTGCACGGATAGAGAGCACTGATGGGAATTGATTATGCAGCACTTATGGGCACTTTTGGGGCTGCCCTGATTACCAGTGCAGATGTCCTCTGTGACACTTGCTGATTATCAGCAGTACTTTCCTCACGCTGTGACAGCTTGAGAAAAGTGCTGCTGATAACCAGCAACTGTATTTACTTTGTGATCAGCTGTGTCAATGGACAACTGATCATGTGGTAAAAGGCCGCTGTGATTGGACTTTTACCTTATGCGAATCACACACAGTGCCAGGTGTGCGCTACTGGGGGTGCATTCTGGGAGGACATCATATGATGCCCTCCCAGAACTGGACAACCGCACTGTAGCCATCATTCGGGTATAGCACGGTTGTAAAGTGGTTAAGTTGCATCAAAGTAGTGCAGGAACCTTTTCAAAGTCGCATAGATTTGAATGGGTGCCATTGAAAGCAATGGGCTGTGATTTGATGTGTGACTTTACATATCCACAGTCGAACAACTGTGAATGGAGTCTTAAAGGAGATGTATAGGGCTAATAAAAAAAAAACAAAAAAAACACAAATATACATACTTACCTCACTGCTGCAGCGTCAGTGTGATGCTGCAGCTGTCTCGTGTTGGCTCTAAGAGCAAGAATGATCATGACTGCTGATTGCTCAGCTGTCAAAATCAGAGACTGACAGTCACTGCTGTGCCCCGCCAGCCCCAGGCTGGAGGGATTGCAGGCACAGCTGGCATTGGCTCTCAGCCACGTGCTGAGAGCAGTAACTACCTGTCAATCAGCTGGGTGAATCCTGACAATATGGTCGGGATCCTTCTAGAGCATGGACTGGCTCTGTGATGTCAATTTAGCCTGCTGCCATCTGATTCTGGGTAACAGGAGAGCAAAAGTAATGAACCTCTGTGACCTGCAAGACAAGTATGGCCAAAAAACAGCTTTTAAAGTTGACCTTAACACACAATCTACCAGTTTACATGATTGAAATCGTGTAATCGCTCAGCTCTCAGACTTGCAGGTGGTGGGGGACGGATGCTGCATAAATCTAGGTGTGTAGGTGAGGGGTTTTTATAATTCTCTAACTTCTCTTTTAAAGGAGGGGAGAATTACTATGATGTAATCAGATTTGGGAGTGACTGGCTCTATTCATCCTCAGGTCAGGTGTTACCAGTATAAAAACAGAGACAGGAAAAGCAACAAACTGAAACTTTATTGACACCTCCTCCAAAACACAACTGAAAGGATCTCTGTCTATGGGGGGGGGGGGGGGATCTACAACTGGAGAGTGCAATATCTGGTGCAGCTGTGCACGGCAGCCAATCAGCTTCTGATGTCAGCTTGACCAATAAACTGATTGGTTCCTATGCAGAGCCGCAGCACACTGTGCACCCTCCAGTTGCGTCCTTTGTACAAGAAATGGAAGGCATGTCCCTAACAGGGTCAGCGGTGTCCATTATTCCCACAGCCTATCATACAAATCAGGTTCACGCTCTCCTGAATGAAGTCCTAGATTTTAGACTGCTAGACACATCCCTACGCTGAAGAGCCCGGTTGTCCTGTGAATCCTTTCTCAGAACACGCTTCTTCTACGTGTTACCTGTGCTTTCCTACCTTTTCTCAATGGACAATTTGGCGCTCGCTTTCCTCTTATTGCCTTCAGAATCTGAAGCCGCGTTAGTCCCGCCTTTTCCGTCTAAGTCACGTCCTGATTAATGGCGCGCATGTGCAATAGAGACAGATTCCTCATCGGCCATTTAGGTTTAGTCGTCTTCCCAGAGTTCTCGGCGGCGCATGCACGATGACAACATAGAGTCAGGCGGCCATCTTTGAATTGGGCCACCAATCACTGAAGCCCAGGGGTGTGTTCTTTTGGTACCTGGCAACTTGATTTAAAGGCGAATTCCAGGAAAAGGATAAATGCTTCCTTACCCCGCACTATAAGGGTTAAGGGCTCGTTCACACTTCACTTTATTTCTAACTCTTGCCAAACGGCCCTATAGTGTTTGGGAAGCGGTTTCAACGCTCCTAAATGCTCCCAAAACGCCCTATGCGTGGTTTTGAGGCGGTTGATAGGCGTTTGCCAAGCATTAAAACTGCACCACAAACTCCTATAATGAAGTTAAATGGTATTAACGCATAGCAACCGCGTCGCAACCACCTCGCAAACCCCTGCCAGGCGTTTGTGGAGCGGTACCATAGACTTGAATGGGAGGCTTCAATTCCTCCTGACTCCACACAAGGCATCAGTTTTGCCACAACGCGATGCTAAAGTCCTGTGCAGAATTTTCATAGGTGTTTGAGAAGCGTTAAAAACACTTCACAAACGCCTGCTGACAATGCTAGTGTGAACGTAGCCTAAATGGTTGATTAGGTCTATAGTTCTGCAAAAAGCGCTATTACTTACCCCAGGTTCACACCTAAGCTTTTTCCACAGCATTTTGCAGAAACGCACTACGGTCCATTTAACATGATTTCCTATGGGAAACTTTCACATCTCCGCGTTTTCACCAGGTGCATTTTTTTGGAAAGGGTCGGGAAATTTTTTTTTAATGCAAAAAGTTGCGTTTTTGGTTTTATAGACTTCAATGGAAACACTGCAGAAAGCATGTTGTGCATTTTTTGCCACGTTTTGCATTTTCTGCCTAGCAACAAGAAAAGAAAACGCAAAATGCAGCAAATATGCGTAAAAACGCAGGTGCAAAAATGCAATGCAAAACACAATGCAGAAACAGCTCAAACGCAAACTGCATAGGTGTGAACCTAGCCTTAGGGCATCCCCTGCCCACACAGCCCCCCTCCATGTAAGGCTAGGATCACACTAGAGCTGAATCTAAACAGTGAGTGACTTGCTGCAGAACGCTTTTCAGAGGGCAGCTAATCAGCAGCTTCCAGTTGCTGAGAACGAGATTCTTCCACCTTCTTAAAGCAGATCTTAACCCAAAAGGGGAAGTTCTGCTTTTCCTCCTCTCCCATATTTGGAATGTTTTTTTTTTTTTTGGGGGGGGGGATCTCATTTTGACAGGTATCTGATCCAACGGCCTAGGCCAGGGGTAGGCAGCCTGAGGCTCTCCAGCTGTTGCAGGACTACAAGTTCCATCATGCCTCTGCAAGTCATAGCTGTGACTGTCAGTTTTGTAATCTTTGCAATGCCTCATGGGAAATGTAGTTCCACAACAGTAAGAAAGCTACAGGTTGCCTACCCCTGGCCTAGGCAATCAGAGCAAATGTTTGACCCCCCTCCTTCCCCACAGCCTCTTGCGACACGTCACAGGTCCCAGGAGACTACATTACCATTCACGGGGCACAGCGCCACTTGTACCTGCGCACGGAGCAGCTGGCTGTGAAGTCGCAAGGGGTCAAAAATGCCAGCAACTAGACCCAAAGAGCCAGGTCGTGTGGAGACATCGCTGGATCCTGGGAGAGGAAAGTGCGTGTTTTAAAAGTAGAACTATAGATAAAACTTTTTTTTCATTTTGGATAGAGTAAGGGAGGGTTATAACCCGTCAGATTTTTTTTCACCATCTGTGTCCCATTACAGAGATTTCCCTTCATTTCCTGTCTCATAGCCAAACAGGAAGTGAGAGGAAATCCCTGCAAATTAAGGAAATCCCTTGGAGAGCCCCAGGTCACCAGAACAAATGTTCCCATTGAAAGATTTCCCCTCTATTACTTTTCTGGAGACAACTGTAAATTTGGGATTTTCTTTTACTTTGACTTTCAATCATAATATTGAACAGGACAACTAGAGTGAGTGAAGCTCCCTAACGGGGGCACAGACTGCAGTTAAAGCTCACAGGTGTTCTAATCCATCTCCACTCCAAAAAGGTTTTGCCTTTGCCTGTAAGTTCTACTTACAGTATTTGTAGCAGCTGACTTTTACATTTCTTTACAGGGTGAAGATCCTCATTAATGTTAGTCTTTTTTTTTTTTTGTCAAAAGGCAATTGTGAATGGAAATAACACGCCGTAACTGTGAGTCGTGCTTGGCTCAAGGTTGTTGCACGGTCCCATTAACTTGAATGGTGATGTCACCTGTCAGCTCAACCAGATGCGTTAAATTTGCACTACATTTGCCTCAAAGTGGCCACAGCATGTGTACAATCCTGTTCAACTGTAAGCTATATTTCAGCAGGTAGTCAGGGAGAGGTAAAACTGCAGATAAACCAACTGTTTTGCCGCCCCCTTGTCCCCAATTTGAAATAAGACTGCAGCTTCTTCTCCCCAATGCTTTGGCAGTTGTAGGTCCTCTGACATCCTTAATACATTGTATGGTCCATGGCCCTGCATTGGACTTGAGGACACTGAGGGACAGTATTGGGGAGAGCTCAGGCTGCTGCGAGAGCAGAGTATCGGGTAAGTAGGAGTGCTTGTTGAGGTCTCCAGGACCTAAATAAGTATTTATCCCTTGCGGTGCTGGGGGCAGTCCCACTGCAAGGGAGAACTTTACATTTGCCCGGAGAGGGTCTTTAAATGGCATAGGAAGTAACTAAATAAATATAAAAAAAATGTTTAAAACAAGTAAATATGATATATTTTTATTTCTATTTATTAATGCTAGCAGCTTAAGGATTCAAAATAGTAATTATTGATTGAGAGAGTGAAGTTCCAATTTAAATATTGTTCTAGTAAAAGGGCTAATATTGATGGCTTGTTTAAGCCCTGAGCAGCAAGAAACGCACAGTAATTTGCAAAGATATCCTGGCTCTATCAAACATTATTCAGTTTACCTAAATTGTCTATATTATGAAGAGTAGTGTTTGCATCTGGGGGTTTTCCTTCAGATTTGCCAGAGATGGGGAATGCTGGATGTGAAACTTCTGGTAATCCCAACTGAAAGGTGACCAGCTTTGTGATCAGGACAAAGGACCCTTGGGCAGATTCAACATATGCCTTGGTGGTGCTGTGGAACCATTACAATATCATTTATGAGTTTTCTCCCATAAAGATGCTACCTTCTATGTTGGGTAGAAGCTGAAGGAAGGAACCCTGGGCAGATGCAACAGATACCTTGGCGGCGCCGTGGGACCAGTGCAATCTCATTCATTCACTTCTTTATTAGAAGCTGATTGGATTCCAGTCATATTAATGGCTCTGTTTTGGCCTCGTCGCTATTGGTATGCAGACTTGTGGGTCTGGTCTCGAACACTCCCTGATGTCTTTGTCCCAACCTACTGCCTCAAGGTCAGGTATTCGATCTTGGTTTACCATTGCTGGCTTAAGCGGCTTGGCTGTTGAAAGTCAGGTATTGAGGGACAGTAGGCTGTCAGACTAATATTATTATACAGTATTTATAAAGCGCCAACAGTTCGCTCAGTGCTGTGCGTTACAAAGGGAGACAGAACATGTGACAATAACAATAGAACAAGTACAATAACAATACAATGCGATACACGAGGGGTTCGAGGTCCCTGCTTCTTCGAACTTACAATCTAGGAGGCAGGGGATAGTGGTACAGGAGGAGATAGCTGTGGGGGTTGGAGTGGTAGGAAGAGTGGAGGAGGTCAGCAAATTAGCAGGGGGTGGGGTAGGCTTCCCTGAAGAGGTGGGTTTTTAGGGTGCGCCTAAAGGAGAGAAGAGTAGGTGATAGTCTGATGGGTTGGTGTCGGTGATGTGATTTGGGGCAGTGTGGTAGACAGCTTTGTACGTCAGTGTTAGGATTTTGAGCGGGGATAGCCTGTGGCGAGGCAGGCCAGTGAGGAGGGAGTTGCAGTAATCGAGTCGTGATATGATGAAACTAGATTATTCTTACCATGCTTAAGGTGCTGAAATTCGCATCTTAGGAGATGTAGCATCATACCTGGTAAGCCTGCATCTCCATGACATGGATTTTGGCCTTCCTTCAGTGGGTTGTGGATCCACTTGGCCCTTGAGTACCGTCAAGGGCCAAGCTTCTTTCTTAGTGGTCTTTTTTCAACACCCACTGACTGTCCATTCTTTAATTTTCTCCTTCATGCAACACCTTATTCATGTGGCTCCACTGGTTAGACCTTCAAGGTCACCACAGGACCTGAACTTGGGGCTTTCTGTCTTAACCTCCCTGGCGGTATGATTATTTCAGATTTTTGGTGCTGAAAGCGGTACCATTATTTTGCATGGAAATTTGGCGTTTTATATTGTAGGCCTGTAATTTTTAGGAATAACTCACTAAAATCTGTCCGAACAAGAGTCTAGTAAACATTCCGGGTAGGATAAAACTTGAAACACAAAATCATAAATTATAATTTAATAAATAATCATAAAAAAATAATAATATAATAATAAATTTAATTCAATAATATAATCAAAACAAAAACACTGAAATTTGAAATATAGCGCCAAGTTCGCACATCACTGAGCAAAGTCGCAGAATCGTTTTCAGTGTCTGATGACAAATTTCCCCACAAATCATTATCACTCAATTATGCAAGTGGTTCTGATTTACTATCGCTGTTCTCTAGCTGGTCTAAAACCGCTTTTGACCTAAAGGGACGCTTTTTTGGACGCCATCAACGTTTTCAGTTTCCAGGCAGAAAGAACAGTAAAAATGCACAGGACAAAGCAGTAGGGACAAAATGTATGTGAAATGGTTTGATACAATAATGTTATACTATGTCATTTTCGTTTATTAGAAAATGACAGTTTCTAAAATGTTTAAATTTGCCGCCGGTTCCGGCCCCCGTACGTCCCGATGCTCGCAGGGACCGGAACACAGAAGCC